TGTGCATTTGTAATAGATTGTTAAACTCTGCTGGATCTGCTTCTTGACAATTTCTTCAAGTTGCAAGAAAGAAAAGAAACCCAAAAGTTCAGTCAACTCCATGATCCCTAATTAGATACAGAGATGCATAATTTTAAAAGAAATAGCAATAAATCTTTATACAGGATTTTGCCCTCAATCAAGTGATAAATGTTCAGAATGTATAATATATCAAAACAAACATGTCAAGAAAATTTTTTGATTGACCTTAAAATTTTTATCAAAAAATGGAAAACTTTTATATTTGCCCTAATTCTACTTATTTTGACTGTGCTGACCTTGTTAGATGAATTCATTATCCAAAATGTTCCAAGTGAAGATAAGTTGGGTTTTGACACATTTATTTTCACTAGGAGAACATTGATCTATTTGGTTAAATACCAGGTACATTTATTTATTTTCTGTCTAATGTCCATAATTTTCTCAAAATTAGCAAACTTGTCATGATTACATGATTTATTAGAAATATTTTTATCTTTTAAGATTATTGCTAAGCATACTTGTAAATTTATGAATGATGTAGTACATTTCATTCATACAGTCTAATTTCATAATTGCATGTTTCTTATCACAGATCTAAATGAGGTTAAAAAATCATATTTCCTCAGAAACGGCCGTAATACCCGGTGACAATATGCACAATTGCAAATCCTGCAAAAAATGAGCGGAAATATGAAATGTAACCGAGCGAGTTCACATGATCAAAGATAACCTGTGAAGATAGAAGGTGTATATAGGAGGTGTGTTCTATTCTACTCAAAGTTGATATCCAACATCCAATTCTCTCTGTGTCTCACCACTCCCCATTTTCCCATGATATGAAAACTTTCATTGATGATATCGTTTACTTTGCACGACCCAGAGCTGAATAAGATATCAGGGGAGGGTGATCTTGTAGTTTCTTCATCCTGACTTTCGTGAATAAAAAAGATGAATGAATGGATAAATTGCAGAAAAGTGCTGCTTAACTTTTCTGATGCACTCTTTGCCATATTTGGGAATATTAGCTTTGGGCAATGATTTGCAAATGCAGTGTTATTTCCATGCAGTCAAAGACAGCAAATGGTTTGAAAAGTATTTGATCAATTCATTAAACCAGGTTGCATAAACAGTATAGGATAGCTCCTAGCTTTGATGTTTTTTTTTTTTATTTTTATGCAATAGATTGCAAGCAAAAATGTGTATATTTACATGATGCAAAGCAAAACTTTTTAAAATGCACCTCAAAAATGCAAAAGTAAGTTTAAAAAAAAAATTTTTTTAAAAAAAATGAAACCCACTAATTGCATGTTTTCTGTTGGAGCGTGCTTGTGACTGGGATGAGGTTCCACTTTGATAGCTGCTCACTAGACGGTCTGGGAGTACCATATCATAATTCCCATTGTCAGGCTCTCGTCATGCAATATGCTGTGCAGTGGGCAAATAAATCATAAATTAAAAAATTCATAAACGGTGCATGCAGACAATATTGAGTAGCCAGCGTCTTCACAAATGGTCGCTTTCTTACAATACGATGTTAACTTGGGACAGACACATCGCATATAGAGTGACTTCTTCTTTCAGTGTTTGATCGACAGATTTTGCAGATACATTGTACCTATCTTAGAGAATATACCTCAACAGGAAATGGTTGATAAAAAGAAAATGTTGAAATATATTCCTGGTTATGGATACTTGCAACTTGACTGCCATAATAAGCCACTATTTAGGCTGTAAATTAAATGATAGCTTGCCAGCCAATTATGAAATCCTTGACACGGTTTGACCCAGACACCTAGAAAATTAAAAAGGCATTTCATAACCACAGTTTTTTGGAGGTGACCCAGGATATACCCCTGAAATTCTACCCCTGTATTCTGAAAACAATTACTGTAAAGGTTGACAGGGAAATATATGTGCATCTAATCTCTCTGATATGCATTATGATATAGTTTATGAAGAATGTAGTAAATAAGTTGAAAAACCTGATGGTATCAGATAAAGCCTCTACCAACTTCGTCCATTATTTGTATCATTTCAGGTGCACAGTGTTATTTTTCTAAGGGGACACAAGTTTCATGTTGCAAGAAAGGCAATAAGATGTGCACACACCTCATTTTGAAAATTTATTGCAATTTAAAAAGAGATGGATTTATGCAGTTTGAAGATGACTTTATTTCATTCCTTCCTTTATTTACCTACCCATCAATTTATCCCACAGTGTAAATTACATGACGTCTTTATTATTTGTCAGAGGTGTAAATAAGAATTACTCTTGGGGAAGATTTTTGGGGAAGATCTTTGCAAGGCATAGTTTGAAATGATGACTGAAAGATGCCGCACCAATATCTGTAGGCTTGCTAGATATGCAGCTTGTTATCTTTAAATCTTGTGTGTTTTTTGGGGCAATAAACTCTGTGTGTGGCAGTTTGGGTGTCTTTAAGTTTTTTCCCTAATGACAACAATTGGAAATGGACCACAGATTACTTTTGGTACTGAATTGTGCACAAGGTCAGCCCAGTAACCTCCCCAATATATTGTCGCGATCAAATCTTAGAGGCTGTGTCTTGATCTCTCTTTAGTCTTTGACCTGCAATCATTAATTTAGTTGTAAAAAATGGTTTATGCCCATTGAAAGCCATTGAGTTGTGTAAAAGTGTCTATTACTGATCGGAGAATAATTGCTTGCAAATGTTCAAAATGCAACAGAGAAAAAAAATTATCTTCTGGTTGGCGTGATTTGTTAAAAAAGTTTTGTATATTCAAGCTGAAAAAATAATCCAAATATTTATTTAGCATCTGATTTTAATATCATTTTCAAAAGAATTTTGAAATTAAAATTGGGAGGAACTTGTGAAAAGTAACAGGTTCACAGGCAGTGGAATTTTTGTCTCTCTGGAACAAACAAGGATTTGTTTTTTGGGAATCGCTTGCTGAACGAAGAGCTGCAGCAGTTTGAAAGTTGTCAAAGCCTGGAACATTTATGTATCTCCCTTATTCTTCATGCAATAAATGTTCTTTTGGCAAGCGATTACATCAGTGGCATATGCTCATTTTCCTCCATGATGTCATGTCATTTGACCAGTATCTTTCTCTGTGGTATTTTACAGACAAATTAAAGACTAAAGGAGTAAAGACATTCTGCAGGGAGAAGTCAAGATATTATTGGTTTTGGAGATTGATGTAACTTGAGCTTTTGGGTCACATATGCCATAAATCCTGGTAAAAATGAAAAGAGAAAATTATAGATTAGACATGAAATGATTTCATGGTGATTTTTCTTCCTTTGACAAATTAAATTCCATGAATTTCATTGAGCACATTCATCCGAACATTGCATGATGAAATACAATTTTGAGCATTTGAATTTTGTCCAACTTGATAAATGGATAGCATTAAATTTTTGAAAAAAGAAACAGTAAAATTTCACAGGTGGATGATCAGGAGGGCTTTTCTTATAGGCAGGGCAATTGCTTGTCAACATTTTTCAATATGTGGTTTCATTTAATAATATTTGGTTGACAGATAATGAGTTTTTTAACAAATCTATGGATCTATTAAAGAGGAGCTTGGCTACTTTTTCTGACTAGGTTTCTTTTCGAGAATGTGTATTTTTTTTTTACACTTCATGTAAAAAGGGTTCACTTTGGTCCCAACACTTTATAAGTGCACCTCCTTATTGGTGAACTAAACATATTACATAACAGGATTTTCTTGAAAAGCCCCAGTCAGGTTTGGTGCCGTGCAAGTTTGTAACTTTTTTAATTTCTGGAGACAAAATATTTGGAATACAAAAAATTCCATTCTGCACTTGTTTCTACACAAGTCAACTGAAATTTAGAAATTTTTATCCTCTGTTTACATTTGATAAGACTTTTAATGCAGTTGGATTTGCACGCTCTTCTCCAATTTGAATACTTTAGTAATTTTCTGTCTGAGGAAAACTAACACCAAAATCGATATTTTGGAAGTTGTTAAAATGAGCAACAACAGAGGTTGAAAAACATCTACATCTTACATGGTATATGAAGTACAAGTGTCTGCCATTATGAAATACAATATTGTTAACACCCTGTTCTCACAGTGTATGCATCCTCCTTTGTATGACAATAGCTTGTCCTCTTTCTGTGATCTTTACATTTTCTCAAAAGCAGGAAAAGAACACTAAAACTTCAGACCCTCTTTTGTAATTAGAAAAGCTTAACAAGTATAGAAGCCCTCATCTTATGGCAGAGCTGTAGAATTTATGGTGGACAGAGGAGAGAGACACATTGTGGATAGTGTTGTGGACTAATTCCAGACTAGCCCTGTATCTGGTGGGTTTATTGGAGAATAATTACTCGGAACTAATTTGGCATCCAATGAAACTGTCCTAAGTATTTCCTGACATAGTCAGCAGTAGATTTTTTATCAATGGCTTCAGAGATTGGTAAAGGAATCTTTGATGTGTCAATTTAAGACATGTAGACCTTGTGGGTGATGATTCTTTTTCATGACTGAAAGTTTTCAGTTGGTTACAACTAGTAATGCACCTGATATGTATTGAATTGCTATAGGAATTGAATTTGATACAAGGACTTGGTGACTTTTTTGTATTGAACAAATGGTAGTTTCAAACCAGCATGCTTATCACATGTTAATCTGGTTTCACTTTAAGCTAATATTTTTTAACGTATGATCAACAAGATCAATGATGATGGATTTTCTGGGATCAGGTCTAGTTAACAAATTATCCTAATATTGGATGGTGTCTAAATCAGATGGAACCTGCTAATTTGATATATTGTTCTCGATTAATGATTGATTTCTAATTATCTGAAACCACATCTACATACCAAATTTCATGAAACTGCATAAATTGAACACTATTATGTTCATCTTGTACTGTAATAAATATTGCCAAAATTTTCCTCCATTTTCATTGATTAAGATTTTTTTTCATTGATTGATTTCACAACTTGATGTAATTTTATTTTTTGCAGGTTGAGAGCTGTTATGTGATATGATTGACAGAGAAAATTAAGCTGTGAAGGTTTGTTAGTCATAACATGAGTTGACCATCACCCAGGTATAGTAGCCCCGAAGGTAAATGCATGTACATCTGACAAAAATCTTGATTAATTATCTACTCATCACATGTTAACAAAATGCCAATGTCTTTGACAGCTTAGGACATCTTCATTATTGGATAATGAGACACTTTTTAGCTGATGCACAATTTTAAAGGTTCCCTGTGATTTATTGTTTTAAATTTTTTTGAAAATTGCATTTTGAAAAGTGGAGTAAAATTAAATTTTAGATAGTATTGCGTCCTAGTTATACAACATAAGATTAAAAAAATGCCACATCCACTTTTTGAAACACTCCACCCACTTTCAGATGTTTAGGAAACAGTACTGAGAGTATTTATCTGGGTTTGCACTTTACCCCCCTAGTATGTCTATTGAGGGCTCAAGTGCACCCCCTTTAAAGGTCCAATTTAGGAATGTCAAAGCTTAAGTTTTCAACTCCATCTGTTCAAGCAGTTTCTTAAAGATTTTTTTTAAATCTCAAGGATTGCTTAAGATGATTTGTGGAAGCATGAGAAATTTCTTTAATTTTCTGAGAAAATATGAAATTGTGTGAGTTTGTTTCTGTCATAAAATTAAGGAAATGTTAAAATGGCACATATATATTTATCTTCAAAGTAACAGACAATACTAGAATCAAAAGAAAACACAAGTGCAGTGATGTTTCATTTAAGATATGTTTGGTTCAGCACGGAGGAAATTATTAATTACAAGTGTCTTTGTAATTATCTCGAAGAAGGTGTACAAAATTCCAAACCCAGGGTATAAAACCACTTAAAGATGACAGCATCACAGTAATTGAGACTTGTTTAGAAACAGTTACTTGAATATCTGTGTGCTTGAAGATTGTGTTTGAGCTATCAAGAAAAATCGAAAAATATATCTTTGACAGTTAATAGGTAGAAACTGAAAAGAAACTCTTGTGTTTGTCTCCTTCTTTCACTTGCAGCACTCTACATTTCTCGATGAAGTTAATAGCAGTGGCAGTAAATTGCTCTGACTTTTCTCTCAAAGATAGGGAACTCTAAAACAGGGAGGGAAAGATTAAAAAAACAACAACATTATCTCCACGCAAGATCAGCTGAGTTGTATCACAATGATAAAAAAAATCTGCACCACAAGTAGCGAGACATTTCCATTGTAAACTACTGATGCAATGTTAAGGTTTTAAAATGTCTTCTTCATTGATGGGGATAATATATATTAAATGAATCAAGTGTTTATAAAAATAGATCAATTTTCCGGCTGCTTAACCCAACTAGTTGAGCTAATACCAATAATCAAATGATTGGCATAATCTCATTGAAGGGGGGAGAGGTTTGGTGAAACAGATTTTCCATATGGACCATTGACTTGTGAAGGCATTGTATCCTGATTAAGGGGCTTTTTTTGGAGTGGAGGTTGAACTAGCAATCTCAATGAGACCCTTCCACCTAGGGGTTCTACCTAATTGGGTTCAGCAAGTTGGAAGCATTTTCATTTGTTATTCACAATGTTCCTTGGCAGGTCCAAAAGATTTTTTTATGAACATCACAACATTAATTTTTTGATGGGGTTGAATAAGGAGTTCTGAAGTGTGAAGCTGACTTTCATCCAAATTAAAATATTATTGATTCAGTTTTGTTGTTCTCAATGGGGGTTGGGAACTTTATGGTCAGTCTGAAGGACTGTACTAGGGCCCACTATAGGGGACCCGCCCATTTCCCGCCCCCTACAATTGAGACCCTCATAATCCAATATCTCTCACTTAATTGAGATAAACAATTTTAGGACCCCACAATGTCATTTCTTTTCACATTAAAGTGTAATTATAAGAACGATTAAAAAATCATAAAATGTTTTAATTCATGTAAATTAGATCTAAAATGTGGCGAAAAAATTATATACTGGTTTGGTTTGTCTGCAAATTTTACCTAATGTGGCAAATTAATGTTTCAAATTTATATAAAATTTAACGTCTACTGCAAAGAACTTTTTTATTGCAAAATTAAATGATATTTTCAAGAAGATTTTAGGTTTTACAAACCAAAAAATTCAAAGTACTGCTATCAGAAAAAAGAAGAAAAAAGCATGTGTCAATATAAATTCCTCTGAACCTAGTGTGTATAATTCAGTACAATTTCTACAATTTAGACTTTGATTAATTTGTTTGCAAGAATGGGGACATGGAAACACAGTCTATAAAATTGAGTCAGCTCTTGATGTATAGCATTTCATTTTTCATTTTAAAAAGAAGGGAGGTCAAATTAGCACAATGCATGTCATATTCCCCTCTTATGATTTACTGCTCCCTGCTCACCCTGTTAAAGGAATCGAGAGCTGTATCAGATGGTACCATTCAGTCATACATTTGTTTCCATGAATGCTTTACTAACCATAGACAGTCGTAAAACATAACATGAAGCCGGAATCAAATAGCAGGCATCTACCAACAAGTTTAGGCAAAGGCTTTGTATTTTACCCATTTTTTTTTCTCTATAGTATATTTAATTTGCCTGAGTTAAGTCAGTTTTTTCCTATCACATGATTTGGGAGGAGCACCATCATCATGTGAAATTGCTTCATCTCTAATGAATTATCACTGTTCAACTGTCATCTTTTTGTTTTTCCATTCAGTAGTGTATTGACATCAAAGAACTACACCTGTCACGTGACTGGTAGTCTATTATAAGATTCATATAAAATAGGTAAAGCGGACTTTTTGTTCACTGTACTTCTACTATGCAACTTCATGTACTATTAAATTATGAATTCACAAAATATAAAGAGGGATATTTTATGTGCTGTACTTTTTGTTTTTCAATTGAAATCATGACCCTCTAGAAAAGTAGGATTTTTTTTCTGTCCAGATTTTAAAAAGTGCTTACCTATTATATGTATCCAAAAAAAAAAAAGATTAGAAAGTATTAAAGATTACCCATCTCTTAAGTTACATCAGATAGAAGATGATAGCGTTTTTGAGGGCCAGATAATGATAGAGAAAGAGATAAGTTGAAGAATCTAATTGGTTAAGTGCTGTATCATGTAACAGGAATGTCTATTGGTTGCTGGGTATCAGGTGATCTGTGATTAACACGTTGAGATCCAGATGAGGGGGCTCTAGTAACAGATTAGCAGCACTGAGGACGATACTGATTCCAAATGGCTAGCTATCAGGGGCCAGAGACCTAATACCTAGCAATAGAGATGTTTTCTTTGGGAGGGTTTTATTGTCAAATTGACAAAAGCAAAAAGATTTCAGTTATTCACCCATCAGGTTACTTAACACCTCAATGTTCAATAAATTTCTCTCAAATGTAACCTTGGTTTCTAGGTATGTATGTCAATTATTGGGCAAGATTAATATTTGTATGCAGACCAAATTCTCAATATGCAAAATGCATTTTAGAAATTTTTAATTTGTTTTACGTGCATCTTCATTATTATGTTAATTGGGTTGTCATTGATTGACTGACTGTAATGAGATTTGTTAAGACACCTGTTTTATGTGGGGAAATGTTATTAACTTCATTTCTGTAACATTTTCTAATAACAATCCATCCTATTGATGACTTTTAGTGTTTTTATTACCTGATTTTAAACGATTTTTTAACTCCAGTTTTTCAATCATTAAACACCTGACACAAAACATTTAAAATTGAATTTTTAGACAATTTTGTGACAGAGTCCAATTAAATAACCAAACGAGCAGCCATTCAGCTCCTGTACAACGCAACTGTAACGGAAAAATTCTATACATTAACTCTTTCTCTTCAAAGGGAAAAGTAAATGCCGTTCAAAATTAATATCAAAAAAGTGTAATAACACCTGACCTCCCCTTGCTAACCCAAATCTACCCAAAAGATCTCGGGAGGGAATCAATTTCATGTAAACATATGAAACTTGTATAGTGTTACCAAAAGGGAAAATTTGGGTACAATAGATTAGGGAGGATTAGATTTGGGAAGACAACAAAAGATATCAATTAAATGGAGCTGGCATTGTTGAAAAACGATGACCAGGATATAATACCGGGTACTCATCTTACTCTTGATGGACCCCTCGCTGCAGTTCACCAGAGGTAATGATAGACTCCCGACGCTACGCTTTTTAATTTTAATGGGATTAGCAAACTTAGACCATCCATTTCACCCAGCCAGTAAGAGCCCTCACTAGAGATAAACGAGACGGGAAAATATATTGTATGGGTAACTTGAATGAGTTATCACTGGTAAGGTTAAATAAGAAATAAGAACATTAAATGTTTTGGGGGGATTTAAGACCCTAAACGCCCAGGTGTTCGGTGACCACACGTGTGAGGGTGACGTCAGAGGCTCGTTACCTGTCGTGAGTAGCGTTAAAATGGTAGAGTAGACATTCATTACAATGTCAATATTGCACCGGCTGTCCTCTGCAATGAGAAAGTGAAAAATACATTGTCTTGTCGGTAATAAGAACAAAAAAGTGGAGAAAATAGCTTGAAGTTCATGGCAACGCGTATAGTACTGTCAGGGAAAGCCACGTAAATGTAGGATAGTTGGTAACCGTCGTTAACTATCAGTCGTTAACTTCTATCTAAGTTTGTATCGAGTTAACCTGCCCTTGATACGGTGTAATGTTTTACATACAAAATATTTAATCTCAAAAAGCCACAAGTGAAGACAGGAGAACAGACATTGTCAGAACTTATTAGAGGAGGAGATTTATCATGATTTGGCTGCTGGCTCCTGGGAGACATGGGATGCGGAATGCCATTTCGTGGCATCAGTCCCTATGACGTGACGTGATAGCATGCTCAAAGTCCTCAATATTTCACACAAAATCTGCTAAATCTCTTGACTTTTAAAGATAATTTTGTGTCGTGATGCATTTGTTATCCCAATCCTACGTATGTGTGATTCACTTTTATGTGAAGAAAAAGTTTTTGGCCTAAAAATGAATTAAAATGAAATTTGAAAAAAAATCTTTAAACTCCATTCTAGCAGTTGGTATATCTGGTAAAGATGTTTTTGTCAGACGTATATATGTGATTGGTTGTATAGATTTCGTACTGGTTTGTTTGTACCAGACAGATGGTTTATTTTGCTTATCAAACGCTAGCTTGGAGAAATGTTTTGTAACATTTTCCCACAATTTATGTCATGAAAAATCCGATTTGATCGAAATTTCAACATAGTTTCCCAACTTCTTTTATGAACATTCCGATGAACTGCAATTTTTTTAAATATCAAACTTAGATATCGATATTGAGGTTTTCCAAGACTTATGTCTGCCCATGAAACTTTATCTGCATGTGATGCCCATTACGTTAGATCTTAGGTACTGTGCAAATATTTGTCAAGTGCCATTGACTGTATTGATATATTTATCTGTTAAATAGATCCAAGTTTCTGTTTGTTGATTCAGGTTATTGATTTTTTTTTTTTCAAAATCTACATTCGAATTATTCCAGTCTAAATGTTAAGAGTTTGTCATCAGATTATTTTTTCATCAACAAAGTCATCGTCCTGAAATCAAGGCTCTGGCTTAAAAAAAAATATTTTGTTTTTTTCAAAAAATCAAGCACTGAAATTTTTTTTTTTTTTTTTTTTTTTGCTCATGAATGGTGTAACATCCCCGGACTGAAAATAACAGGTGTTATATTTACAGTGGACACCCAACATCATCCAAAATGGCTGCCAGCGGCAGAAAACAAACTTTTGTAGGGGGAAACTGTTGTTACACTAATGATTAGTCTTTATATTTAAGGTAAATGTAAACTTGGTTGACATATTTTATCAAGAATTTTGCCATTTGTCAACAAACAAACATATTTTTTTTTTTATTTTGTCAATGCACTGATAACTAACAATACTTTGTATCATTACAGTATGAAAGACAGCAAGAAAATCACCTAAACACAAAACTGGTTTTCATAATGATTTGAGATTGTGTTAGATTCTGAGATCATTGTGAAAACTGATTTTGTAACCACAAACATCTATAACAATGTCAGGCTGCCACACAACCAACGTCAGCTGTGGTCAAAGACAGGAATTTATGCAGATGTCGGACGATATGTGTGACTGACCTGTGCACGGATCGCTGCCCAGGTTACTAGAAATTCTTCAAATAAATTTGTATATATAATTAAACTGTTTGTTACTCGTCTTTTTATTTCATGGCTATGTGTGTCACTTAGATAGCGAATTGACATGTCTGGTGAGGTGAACCGCGTGTGGGCTACATAGTAAATTGCAAAGACATCAATTTTGAAAAAAAGCAGACAAGTTTTGTTTGCAGTTAACTTGTATTTCGTAGGCGGTATTGTACATTAGTCCTGTCTGAGATATGATTGTACAATTAGCCATAGGTATCTTTCATCTGATTGGTAGTATTTTTATTTGTCTACTCTTTATATCAAAACGAATATTTTAGAATTGAATGCCTTTAAGGAGGGGTTTTTGTCTGATTTCTGAAAAAATGAAATCTTCAAAGTATATTTGGTTATACATCCTATGTATTAAGATGTTAGAATTTAAAAGATAAAGATCATATTTTCTCTTCCTCTTAATATAAATTTACAACTTTAAACAGATATAGTAAACTGAGTTTGAAATCTATCGTGGACAATGTTTTTAGTGGTACAGCGAAAAAATAATGAAAATATCTTCTCCTCTACTTCTCAAAATTACAGATGAACAATATTAATGAAAATTTTAAACAATCTGAAGTTTAATTTTTTTTGTTTCCTAAATTTGTAATAATTGACTAATGATTTAAAAATATAAATGATAAATATAATTTTCCAAACTAACTTCAATCTTGTTAAATTTTGAAAGCTTCAAGTCTAAGTAAAGATTTCGACAAAACAAAATTGATTTTTGGTCAA